AAAAACCGTAAAACTTTGTTTTCTCGAAAAGAACTCGAGGAAATCGTATAAAACGGCAACGGTTAAACGAAACACCGAATATTGCCTAAACTATACGATTTATTCGAGATTTTTCGTAAAAATTGTACAAAACGCGTTTTTAATAAAACCCCGAGTAAATCGTACAAAACGGCAACGATTAATCGAAACATCGAACATTGCTTAGCTTTACGATTAACTCGAGAAACTTATCTAAAAACGGCATCGTATCAGGAAACGATCTCGTCTAAAGTCGTAAAACAGATTTATCTCAAAACGGCTCGGAAAGTCATAAAACACGATAAAAGCCACTCGCGACTTTAAACGAAGTCCAACCCGAAGATACGACGACGTTTTGGCGATTTACTCGCAGAAAGAAGATAAATGTCAAACTTGAAGATAAATGTTAAGTTTGAGGATAAATAGAAGATTTCCGCGGGGAAAAAGGAAATATCGAGATAAATGGAAGATTTCCAGTAAACTTGAATCTGGGCGAAATGGAAAGACTAAACCGCCTAGGAAGGGAGTATATAAGCAAGAGGCATAGGGCATAAGCAAAGGGACGAATTTCAGAGCTCTCATCTGAGACTTTTACAACTTTTCTAGACTTAGAATTTTCCGCACTTAGAAACTTAGGCTTTTTCTCGACAAGTTTGGTTTCTATGACTGGCGCTCAATTGCTAGACGAACTTGCCTAGGCAGTTCGATCTCTGGTCAAGCTCTATCAACTGAACTACGTTCGACTTGATCCCCGAAAGGGGTACGTAGGCAGCCTTTCATAAGGTTCAGTCCGAAATCAATCAAACTTTTTTTCCTATCTTTTTCCGTCTTTCGTTATCGAGCTGCGACTCGACTAGATCTAGGGTTTTATGTTTGTAACTCGCTGATGGCCCCTGCGGCCAAAGCCTTTGTAATTCCTTGTGATGATCGCAACGCTCTTACGCGAATCGGAAATAAGATCGACTTTCTTTATAAATTCGTTTTATTGCGTTTTTCATATTTTCCGCATTTATTTGGTTACTTGTCGTTGGCTTTCGCAGAGATCCGGTTCCTCTGGGAAATTAGGGTTTTCCTAAGTTTCCTTATTTAACGGAAATCGACAAGTGTGAATCTCGGTTCCCACAATAACTCAGCCATAAAATAATTAATAACTAAGCCACAAACTATCAAAAACCCAGCCATGATCTCAGCCATCAGATAACTAATACCAAAAAACCCAGCCACTATATACATACTAACTCAGCCATCAAATACCAAAAATCCCAGCCACTTAATACATAAGTACTTATAACTCAGCCAACAAATAAATAATAAATCAGTTGACACCTTACCTCGCCATGTTCTCTAATCTCCTCAGTAATGACAGTATCAAAACTTGAACGTGTACGCTTTCCACCCCATCGAAAAAGCGGAACTTCTTGCTCATTGACCACTCTCCCAAAACGCTCTCCAAAACAAATGACAGATTCATACGCCCAAACCAACAACACGTCCTTCAGACCGTTTATAGTGTATGACCTTCCTTGTGGATTGAACATCTTAATAGATTCAATAAGAACGTCATATGCAGTCCGACCCCATGGATACGTCCTCATGGATTTATCGTCGTATACTCTTTTTGCACTTTCAAACGGTATCCTCGAATTATGATGCAAAGCATAAAGTCCCATCGCTTGAAGAAGTAACAGCCCTAACCATTTTTGCTCTTTAAAAATCCAGGCCGGACATACCACTAATGCTTCCCTCAGTTCATCTAACTTGGGTCTCACCCCAAGCGGCAGATTCAACTCCTCCCAAAATGTTTTGTATTGGTCAGGTTCAAAACTTTCTGTTGGCACTGGATCCGTGTTTAACCCAGTGATCTCACCAAATTAGTGTAAGCTAAACCTGATAGGGTCATCACCAACTAGACTCCAAATCTCATTCTTATATACTCGAAGCTGTCGACATAGTAGATAGTGTACCGTCCTACCAGACCACACACTTTTGCATTCAGCTAGCTTAACAATTATTCCAAGAGGACCCTGCTTCAGGTGATCCCACACATCATGTCCTATTGCTTCTCTGACATTAGGGAAATCTCCCATATGCAAATTGTGATTAATCTCTTTATTTTCTAGATTAGAAGCCTCTTCAGCGTAAAGTCGTGGAGGATAATCTCATGCTTGATCTTCAGAGAAGATCCTAAAACACACACATATAAGGTAGTGACGTGGATTCCCTAATTAGTGATGTGGATTTGATAATTAAAATTTGTATCAACAATAACAAAATTAAACAAGGGTGTTTATTGTAATTTACTAGGAATCTAAAAACATTCTAGTAATTTTAGAAAATGTATATTATTCTAGTCATATCCCAACTATTATGTAACATTCTAGTAATTTTCTCAAACTATAAATTTAAATATTCTTTGGGAGAACGGCACCATCGTTCTTCAATTATTGAGAGTTATCTAGATGTATACATAGAGGTGTATCTTTGTCTTTTGAAGAGTTTTATTGGGAGTTTTTAAATTTTTTTTATCATTAGTTAATAACTAGGTGTTTTTCTATACCATGTGCATGAATACATTTTTAAAAATTTAAATCATATTTATCAGTAAATGTTTATTATTTAAAATTTTATTATTTCCATTAAATATTTTAATTTAGTTTTAATTTAATTATATATTAAAATTAATATAAAATATAATTTTTATTTAAATTTACATTTAATAATATATATATGTATATATTTAAAACTATAATCTAATAAATATTTTTATTTATTTGGTTAAAATATATTAAATAAATTATAGTAAATTATTATTTTGTTAGGTACATAATTATCAAAACTTAAAATTAAATAATATTCTTACAATTTGTAAATATTTAAAAGAAACTCATAGTAATAGATTAGAAAATTATAATTTTTTAAATTGTACAATTTTGAAGTTTATTTTAGTAATAAAAAATTTAAACTATAAAAAAAATTTAAGAACATTCCAGAAATTGTAAAATGTTGTTCCATTTTATTTTATTATTATATTATTTGTTCTTATATTAATGATGTTTTATGAGTTATTACCATATTTTAAAAAATTACCAAAATATAAAACAATAATTAATGTAAATGTTTATGTTATAATTAGCATCAAGCCATGTCATATTTAGTAGTATGTTATGTCTTTTTTTTTTTATTAATGTAGGATAATAAGTGGTAAAATCACTTTTTAAATAATAAGGATGCCACGTGTTTGAGTTGTTTGAGCAGCCTTTGGGTCGGATAAGAGTTATGCTCTATTGTTTTTTTTTGGGCCGATAAGGATAAGCTCTGTTGGGTCTTTTTGGACCTTTGATGACGTGTTAAATGGGGTTAAGCACGACAAAAACTTTTAAACCGTTGAAATAAAAACGATGGGCGGCCGCCCAGAAGGCAGAAGCCTACATATTCAGATTCATGAGCCAACCGTCACCGCTGTTTCTCCGGAGAATAACTTTAGTGTTTTGGATTATCAGTAAAATATTAGTACTGAATTCAAAAATGAACGCACAACTTTTTATGTTTAGAAAAAAAAAAAAAACTTTTTATCTTCAGACCAAATAACTTTTTATCTTCACGTAAAAGTGTAGATGTTTGATGTTTTGAAACTTGAATTGAATTGATTAAAGAGAATCGAAGTTTTGCTTCTAATTTTAGCAAAAAACAGTTTACATGCTAATTTATTACACTTTAAATATTAAACTAGGTGATTACCCGCGGATATGTTGAATTTTGTATACTATTCCCTCCGTTTCAATTTAATTGTCATTCTAGAGTTTAGCACACAGATTAAGAAAACAATTAATTTTACATATTTTCAAAATAAAAACACAATTACCTATACACCTAACCACTTTTCAACCAATGAAAAAAGAGAATAACATTCAAAATCAATAAATTTTGCATTGAAATTATAAAACGACACTTATTTTGAAACGAAAATTTTACTCTAGAATGACATATATTTTGAAACGGAGGGAGTAATAATTTTTTTGAATATTAATTTTGATCGTTCAATCTTCGTGTCATAAGTTCTAAAACGTATAGTCTTGGATACAATATAAAGTTGTTGAGTATCAGATCATGTTGATATTTTATTTTCTTAAACCTATTTAATTTACATTGTACTTTAATGATATGATCGGGATATCACAATTTACCTTCTCACTGCAGTATTAAGAATTGCATTTTTGAAATGATATGATCAACTAACATTTGAGATCCGCGCTTGTGCTGAATAAACATTAGCTATGTAAATAAATTACTTATACATATTATTATTTATCTTTTTTCATTTACATATTATTTAATAATAAATATATTGAATAATTGAGAATCAAGTAACTATTATGTATATAATTAGATTAGAGTAAGCACATAAAAAATAATGTCTCTTTTTTATTTACAATATTTTTTATTGGTAAAAAGGAAAACCGATCATTTATTTATTTATATGAAATTAAATAACATTTACATAGATATATATATATATATATATACACATATATGTATATATATTATTAATACAAATTTTTATTAATTGAGTTTCATACTCGTATAATTTAATTAAAATTTTTATATTTTCTATAATAAATATGATTTTTATTAATATTAATATTTTTTAATTGATATTTATTTTATTTAAATGATATTGGATATATATATATATATTTTAATCTGCTTATATATTAAATGAGACTGCAAATTTATATGATCTTATAAAATAGTATTTTGTACATTATTAATTAATTTGATAGTTAATATAATAAAAAATGTAACATATATTTAGATGAACTAATATTTTTCTAAAAATAATTGTGGTGATGACATATGGCTATCAAAATATGTGGTAATGTTTCTCAATTAATATATAGACAATGTAGAACAAGAAGAAAGAAACAAATGATTTAGATGAGAAAACCGGATGAATTCGAAGGGACGGGGAAATTAATAAATTATTACCAGTAGTTCTTTTGGAAACTCCAGAGATTGCCAATGAGGCTTATTTGTTGAGGAACATCTTCCGTCGCAGATTGGCCGTCGAGATAAGGAATCTGATAGAATCTCATGTAATTCTCGTATGCCATCAGCTCCTCCGACAACCGTTTGACTTGTTGGTTTTCCTTGTCTTCAGGAGCAGGAGGAGGAGACTGATCGCTAGCATTTATCAGATGATCACCAGTAACACCAACACAGCCTACTTCTTTATCGTTGTTGTTGATGATGCAGTTTCTTCTGGTGGAATCGTCGTTTGGGAAATTGAGTTTGGCTTTACCGCCACGGATTTGAATGGCTGCAGCGTCGTAGGCTCGAGCAGCTTCCTCTGCGGTTTTGAAAGTACCAAGCCAAACACGAACACCTTTCCTCGGGTCACGAATCTCCGCAGCCCATTTTCCCCATGGTCTCAGCCTTATCCCTCTGTACATATTCTTCCTCTCTCTCTTGCGCTTTTTCTTCTCGTTCCCATCTTTTCTTTTTAACCCACCAACTGTTCCGACATAAGTAATTATCAAACTCATTGAGTATATGGAAAGCATGCGTCGTTATGTACAAAAACTGAAGGTCTAAACCGACGTACCTGAGAAGATACGCTTCTCAATGGAGACTATTACCAAAATATCTCATTCACATTAAATGTAAAAGTTAGTTACATGTGAGCTTATATACAAGCATAAAATAGAGTAAACCGAACTAAACCGAAGCTATCTACACTGGTTTATATCATACCAGATTTACATAATAAACCAATAGCTAATAGTCCCCCTCAAGATGAGACAAAAATATTCACAAGGCTCATCTTGCTAACCAAATGACGAAAAGGAGCTGGATGCAAAGGTATAGTGAAAATGTCAGCAACCTGATGATCAGTGCGAACATGAAAGAGCTTGAATAAACCTGCAACTAGCTTCTCTCGAACTCGATGACAGTCCATCTCAATCTGTTTAGTGCGCTCGTGATAAACAGAGTTATGCGCAATATGAATGGCAGCCATATTATCGCAAAACATGAGAGTGGATTTAGTCAATGTAATGTGAAGTTCTTTCAAGAAGTTGGTAAGCCAAAAAAGCTCATCAACAGCAGCTGCCATGCTACGGTACTCTGCTTCAGCCGTGGATTTGGATACTGTATCCTGCTTCTTGGAACGCCAATTTATAAGAGAGGACCCCAAGAAGATACAATATTCGGACGTGGAGCGTCGTGTATCAAGGCAAGAACCCCAGTCTGCGTCTGCAAAGACCTGCAGTTGAAGCTCAGCCGAGGAAGAAAAGAATAAACCCTGTCCAACAGTTCCCTTAAGGTAATGAAGAACTTTGAGAAGAGCTTGATGATGATCTCGACGTGGTGCAGAAACAAACTGACTAAGCTTGTTGACAGCAAATGTTATATCTGGACGAGTGATTTGTAGATACATCAAACGGCCAATGAGACGTCTATAGGGTTTAGGATCAACGAAGTCACCACCGAGCTCAGTTGAAAGCTTAAGATGTGGATCTAGAGGAACAGATGAAGGTTTACAACCCAAGAGACCGGTCTCATCAAGGAGATCAAGGGCATATTTTCGTTGAGAAACAGAGATACCTGCAGAACTTCGAGCAATCTCGAGACCAAGAAAATATTTAAGAGGTCCGAGATCACGAAGCTTGAAGTGAGAATGTAGTTGATCCTTTAGTTGAGTCACAGCAGAGTCACTGTTACTGGCAATGATGATGTCGTCAACGTAAACTAAGACCCATAAGAAAGCCCCATCAGTGTGTTTGAGAAAGCAAGTGTGATCCGAATGAAGATGATTGAAACCCAAACCAAGAAGAGTTGACTGAAACTTGAGAAACCATTGACGTGAAGCCTGCTTAAGACCATAAAGGGATTTCTCAAGCTTGCAGACTGCATTAGGAGGCAAGTCCCCCTGTTTAGATGAGTACCCTGGTGGAAGCTTCATGTATATTTCTTCATCTAACTCACCATTCAGAAACGCATTGGAGATGTCAAGTTGAGTAAGTGACCAACCAAAGATAGCTGCAAGGCTGAGCAAAAGCTTAACAGAGTTAAGTTTAGCTACAGGGGAGAAAGTTTCAGTATAATCAATCCCTTCCTGTTGTGTGTAACCCTTAGCAACCAGGCGGGCCTTGTAACGCTCAACTGTTCCATCAGCGTGATACTTGATCTTAAAAACCCATTTGCAACCAATAGCTCTCTTGTTAGGAGGCAAAGAACACACAACCCAAGTATGTGTACCTTCCAAAGCATCAATCTCAGCTATAGCAGCATCACGCCACACCCGATGTTTCTGTGCCTCAGTATAGGTTTTGGGTTCAAGTTCTTTATCAATAGAGACAAGAAAAGCAAGATACGAAGGAGAAATTTTATCATAAGACAAGAATTGAGAGATTTGATGAATGGTTGAGGAAGTTACTGAATGACAGTAATAATCCTTGAGATAAGCAGGCTGTTTACCCTTCCTATGCGATGTTTGAACATAAGGTTCAGGGACATTAGTAGGATTAGCAGAAGGCTGAATCTCTACAGACGATGAATCTAGAGAAGTAGATTCATCAAGAACAGATGTTTGCATAGGAGGTGGCACAATAGGATCAGAAAATAAAGCTGTTTCAGAAGAAGTGAGATCCTGTTGTGCAAAAGGGAAGAGCTCTTCATGGAAAACCACATGTCGTGAGACAAAAATGGTATTGGATTCAATATCCAGAAGCTTGTAACCTTTAACACCATTGGGATAACCCAAGAAGGCACAAGCACGAGCTCGGGGAGAAAGTTTATGCTGTTCTTGATGGAAGTGGAAGCATAACAAAGACACCCGAAGACTTTTAGTTGATCATAATCAGGAGATTTATTTTTGAGAATGTCATAAGGTGTTTTGTTTTGTAAGACAGGAGTAGGGGTGCGGTTGATAAGATGAACTGCGGTAAGAATGCAGTCACCCCAGTAAGACAAAGGAATATGTGATTGAAAGAGAAGGGAACGAGCAACATTGAGAATGTGCTGATGTTTTCTTTCAACCACAGAATTTTGCTGAGGTGTTTCAGGGCAAGAATGAAAGGGAACAATGCCTTTAGATTGATAAAAAGAGGTGAAGTTAAGCTCAGGAGCATTGTCGGATCTAACCCTCTTAACCTTGACACTAAATTGTCTTTCTACCATTTCTATAAAGTTTGGAAAAATGGTTAAGACATCAGACTTATGTTTAAGTAGATATACCCACGTAGCTCTAGAACAGTCATCTACTATTGTCAAGAAATATTTAAAACCATCATGAGTAGAAACAGAAAGAGGCCCCCAGGTATCAATATGTAAAAGATCAAAAGGTTTTTCACTTATATTTTGATGAGATACAAAAGGGAGATGTTTCTGTTTAGAAAGATGACAAACATGACAATGAGAATCACTATGTTCTTTTGTTTTTGGTAATGATAAAGAAGAGTACATACTCTGAAGTTTAGAAAAAGATAAATGGCCAAGACGTTTGTGCCAAATAGAACTAGAAACAATGGATAGGACAATGGGTTTAGTGATACCTGGAGAGGAAGAAAGAGACTCAATATCCAGGAAATAGAGCTTAGAAACTTCTCTACCCATCCCAATCGTTAAGCCCCGTGTAAGATCCTGAAGACCACAAGAATTAGCATCAAACCAGACACGACAGCCCATACTCTTGGTCAAACAGCTAACACTAAGAAGATTAAACTTGAATTGGGGAATATAGAGAACATCATCTAGAATCAAATATCTACCCAGTTTTATAGTGCCTATTCCAACAATGCTCACAAGAACTCCATTAGGGAGAGTGACAGTGGTGTTAGGGAGCAAACGAAAGTTAGTGAAGGCAGACTTGTCATGAGAGACATGATTACTAGCACCTGAGTCAATGACCCAGGCGTTGAGAGGTAAAGAGACATCATTAACAGAACAGACATAACGCCTATCAACTCCGGTAAAAGAACAAAGAATAGAGGGGTAAAAGGTACCGGAAATTGGGCAAATGGCTGTGGAATGAGAAGGTTCAGAAGATACTGAGACAGAGTGAACTTCAGGTGTGGACGTGACACTGGGAGGCTGTAGCTTGCTACTCAGAAAGGCCACCAACTGCTGAATCTGATCTGGAGATAGACTCTCTTCAGTGATGCCAGAACCATTGTCTGCAGAAGTAACGGCAGCAACAACTGGACGAGAAGTCTGATCACCCTTATTCTTAGACTTGAAACTAGCCGGATAGCCATGTTGTTTGTAACATCTATCAGCTATGTGACCAACACGACCACAGAAAGTACAAACAGGTCTGTCACGTTTCTGAAAGGAAGAGGAACTCCCTGTAGTAACTGATGCAGGAGTGGAGGAGTTAGAGACCTGAAAGGCAGCAGAGTTGAAATCACTATTAACGGATTTCTGACTATCTTCCTGATCCAGGAGATTAAACACCTCAGACATGGTTGGAAGAACTTTCTTCATTAAGATGCGGCTACGGATATGCTCATAGTTGTCATTGAGTCCCATAAGGAAATCAATGACTCGATTTGTCTCTTTTTCAGCCAAAAGATCCTCAACAGAGCGAGAAAGAGGTTGAATGCTAGAAAGTTCTTCCCACAACGATTGAGTCTTGGTGTGATACGAGGAGAGATCAAGACTGCCTTGTCGAAAGGAATGAATCTGATGACGAAGCTTGTAGAGACGAGGGAGATTGGATTTGTGGAAACGAGTGTGAAGATCCTTCCAGATGTCAGAAGCATTCTTGAAGTACAGAATACTCGTATAGATCGGTTTCGTCACACTGTTCAACAACCAAGATTTCACCATACTATTGCAACGGCACCAGATTCGATAATAGGGATCAGTCTCAGGTGATTTCACAATACATCCATCTAGAAAGCCTAGCTTGTTCTTAGCTTCTAAGCTAGTAGTCATCGCCATAATCCAAACTCCATAGTTGTTACCATCTAACAATTCAGAAGCTAACACTAGGCCAGGATGATCCGAACTATGTAGATGATACGGAGAGTGAATGTTCTCAGGAGAAATCGATACCTCAAACGGACGATCGGAAGTCGCCGAAGCAGATCTGTTGAACTCAGCTCGAGTCTGAGTAGTGGAAATGATCGGAGGAGCGGAAGCCCGATCGGGAGGTCTTGGAGAAGACGGAGAACCAGACTCCGGTGAATCTGGTGTGGAGCGGCGATACGTCGACTTGCACTTGCGTTTTCCCATGGAGATCGGCTCGGAACGATGAAGAATCGTGAGATTTGAGCTGATTCGAAGGCGAGAACAACGAGAATGAAACGTCGACGGAGAGGAGGTGGATGAAGGAGGAACCGAGATCGTCGCCGGTGTGAGATTCCGGTGAAGAAGCGCCGGTGAGTGATGATTAGAGACGTTGATTCGAAGCGGAAGGTTGTTAGAGAGAACGAGATACTTGCTCTGATACCATATTACCAAAATATCTCATTCACATTAAATGTAAAAGTTAGTTACATGTGAGCTTATATACAAGCATAAAATAGAGTAAACCGAACTAAACCGAAGCTATCTACAC